ACACTTGCCTGAATGGTATTGTGAGCCATAAATCTTTGCAAGGTTCCTCTGAAACTAACATCAACCCGTTCCCAGCTCAGTTTTGTTAGTTCCCTTATCATCTCCTCTGCAAAAGAATGTTGTATTATGATGATTAGGGATCAAGATAAGAAACCCGAGAATGAGAAGTCGATTTTCCACTGAACCAACCTTCCATATCGAAATTCTTGAACCCGTTTGAATTGTTCCCTGATCGATCTTCCTCATGGTTTCTTGCAGTAACTGGTGCTTCAACGTTCACAATGTGAGGATACTTCTCATTGACTGGACCGCGTTGAAGCTGAGAAGGTCACATATGAGACTGATTCAGCATAAGTGCATAACACACAACATTATGATATTAAACATTGAAAAGGAAAATACCTTAGGGAGCTCATTGTAACCTCTGATAGATGATGTACTCCACCCGACAAGGTCTAAGAACAACAGGAAGTTAAGGTTTCAAATGAATTGCAATTCCCACAATAGTTCTGAGTCTTTTTAGTTTAATTCGCATTGTAAGATCAGTGAAGAAGAAGGAATAGTTTATAGAGGCCTAAGAAAGAAAGGATACAGTCGAAACTTGTATTCGCGTAAGCAATACGCCGCTTGAAGCATCGCAAAGCAGAACTGTTCAGGAAAGTAGAGGAGATATAATTATTTGACTATGCAAAGCCCCAATAAGCTATGTATAAAGAAAAGAAACAAAATCAGTGAAGGAACTCACATAAATTTAAGATCTCTGAAATCACTAACCATTCGGAGGAGTAAGGGAGGCTTTCCATCATCATTATCAGCGAGAAAAATATGTTTCCCCGTTTTACCAAGACACCACGACATACGCGTAGCTAATCTCTCCAAAGTGTGAGATCCAGAAAACAATGGGACCTAATACAGTCAAAACACCACACCATTAACCAAATTGTAAGTTTCCGCATTGAAAAATTCTATAAATTACATCTAGCTTACAGAAGAGGAGACAAAAACTCAACATTACCACTCTAGTTCATAGTAGATACTGATGCGCATAAGAAAATTAAGGATCTCAACTTTGCTCTAAACATATTCAAGTGTAGTAAAACAAAACTGTTCCCAAATCACCTGCTTATGTCCTCTTGAGCCAAGGTGTGGTGTTGCAGAAGTTATAAAATACACAGGCTCTAAACCAGCGATTCTCTCTTTCGGCTCCTCTATAGTGCATTTATCCCCGATGTCATTGCTATTTTGTGAAAGCTCTTCTCGGGATTCTTGCTCATAAAGACGCCCAATAGCATACCTAGCAATCAGGCCACCTAAAGAATGTCCTACAAATGAAATCTTTTGGAGATTTGAATAACGTTTGATCACCGACCTAACCTAAACGAAGGAGATAAAAGACTATTATTTCAGCTGAGCAAGTCCTTTTGTAAAACATGAGATTGATTGAGACAGAAACATAGTACCTCTTCTGCTAATCTCTCTCCCATAACATCAACACCACCAAATGTCTGTGTTGAATGGTTGCGTTTACTGCCTGCAATGATTGTAAATTAATCACAAGCCATTCTCTGCAAAAATGTAATATAATATCCACCGTGGTGGTAACAATATCTAGAATTGGATCTTCATGACACATAACTCAGTGAAACAAGAACTGAAAAGTCTACATCTAAAGTGTGCTTCTTTCTTTCTTAGTTCATTACATCAATCTGTTCGATTACGATTGGGAGAAGAACTTACAGTGCACGACGAGATCATGAGGATACTTGTTCAGCATCTGCTTAGCAGCGAATCTCCAGTCCTGAGCACTATAATACCC